CATGGACGAACAACAGAGGCAGCAGCAACAATCTTGGCAAGAAATGCAAACGAAGGACAAGCGTCAAGTATTGCTCACTTGGATTTTTCAATTGGAAGGCTTGTCAATGACGACAACGACGACAACGACGACGAACATAAAATGGACAAGGGTCACGGATGGATTGGTCAAACGAGCCCGACTACGAAAAGAGTACAATGCACTCGCACTTTCAACCAAGTAAGAAGTATAGTAGTAGGATAGGAAGATAGTGAACGAGAAATGGTTGTTATTATGTGCATTACAATACTTTTTCTTTCCATTGGACTGGATTGAACCATAGCGTGTGAGTGTAGATACAGAACGGAAGTATTTCGATGGTACCATCATATTCTATTTTGATGGGACCAGTATGCCTGAAGAGGTGAATATTCTTGATTGGTCGTGCCAAATCCTTCTGATTGAAGATTTCATAATATCAACACCGGTATACGTACCGTTACTCGTATTTTAATACCGGTACCGCTGTACACGTAATGATATGAGATCTTCGTGAAGATAAATTGTGTATTGTGATAGCATCGTTGGATCGCGTCTCTTTACCGGTACGCACTGTACTCTACCATTAAGAGGTGAGTGTTGGCCGTGGTCGTTTCAAATCCTTCTGATTGAAGATTGACACCTGGCGATGTTATTCGACGTCTGGAATTGTATATACATGTTGCAAGTATGAGCATAACCTACTGTATAAATCAGATTGAGACAAGTGTAGTACCGGTAGTAGTATTATATCATGTATGATGGGACTATTGGAGAGGTGATTGTTGGCCGTGGTCGTGCCAAATCCTTCTGATTGAATATGAATCACACTTGTTCAGTTATGTTGCAGGTCTGATCATCATCTAGTAGTATTGTGTATTGGAGTTAGTTATACCGGTACATGCATGGCGGGATCATTGGTAGAGGTGACTCTTGGCCTTGGTCGTGCCAAATCCTTCTGTTTCAAGATTTCACGTTTTTGTAGGTAGGTAGGGCCAGGTATCGTACACGTATGTTCCATGTACCGGTATAACATATAAGATATTCAACGTGAAGTCAATTCTGCATGTTTAGTATGAATCAGAGAAGTGTAGTTGTGCAGGTATATGAATCCAATCTATATTTTCTATTATCTTTGTCCTTATGTTTTGTATCCTTCTTGCTCTTTCCCAGTCGGCGGCGGTATATTATGTGATATTCGTTGGGCAGCAGATGTTGCTTTGATCGTTTTTCCCAGTTGTGCTATGCGACTCATTCAGAATTAAAA